GGATCATCATCTCACTAAAACCTGTTACTGGCATGTTCTCAGAGGTGATTAATGTTACTGTGGTTGAATAATAACTGTTTTTTCATCTTTTTAAAAATTATTCTCATAATAAAGAATAGTGGAATAAAAATTAACATGATTGTGGTGCAGTGGAGACCCCAAATCTGTTTTGAATTGTCTGGTAAGGACAATGTGCTTCCTCAGTAACTTGATTTTTAACCACTTCAAATGACTCTCCCTCCTACTATGAGGAAATCCCAGGTGTTGATAGTTAGTTGACAGGGTGTTAATGTCATTAACATTCTGTCAGCTCTTCTTGTCAATGTGTTAATGGGGCCCCTACTGCTCAGTCATTCCCTGTCCTCCAGTTGGTGAAATGATTTAGCCAGCAGTCAATCAAAAAGCTAAGCTGATTTTGGGCAATAAACAGCCCTGCTATCGACAAAATCTATGTGAGTAAATGTGGTAAGAAATTTGTCTACAGGATATAAGCAGTAAGGTCAACATTGTGGTTAGTGTGCTTTTTAGACAGTTTAAGATGTTAAGAATGGACCACAACACACATTTAAAAGTCTAAGAAGCCCTCTTTTAAGAATGGTCTTCTTTCCTGTTGGAAAGAGCAAGGAGCAGTAAGTAAAAGAGATGCTTTGATTTAAAAAAAAAAGGAAAGAAAAACTCTTTCACAGTCACTGGTCAAGCAAACAAAAGCTGCAAAAATCAGAATCTACATATAATGTCAAGTCAAAGAGAACAGGCCTAATGATTATCAAGAAATCCATTCACAATGTTCCCTGCCACCTCTCTTAAGCATGGGTTATTTTTCAAAACTTTGAAACCAGACATAATTCTGAACATCACCACAATATTTGCAATAGGGGCCACACGCAGACACAGACTACATAATTCCTGGTAACGTTAAAAGATAAAAAGAGATGACCTCTAGAAATTAATGAATTAAAAACAAATGGGACCATGGCAAATAACTTTATGAGTTATTGAAGTTACCCTGACACAATTCGAGCTCACTACAATGACACAGAAACAACTGTGGTTAATTTTATCATCAGATATGGAAAATCCTCCTCATTTAATAAATGAGAACATTTTTCAAAAGCTTAAGTACGTAAACTTAGGCAGTGTCTGATACATAGTAAACATTCAATAAATAAGAGTGATTATCATCATTTTTATAACTTACTAAAAAAGGAATATAGATTCTATTTCAATTCACTGTACAAACAATTGAACTAAAAACTTTCAATACTATTATCATGATGAGCATATTAGCATGAAGAATACTAAGAACTTTGCTTTCTAAAAAATCAGGATAATATTAATAATTTTCCCATACGGTTATTTGGAGTTTTGAACAATGTGCATTTCAATATACATAGCACTATTATATCCATTATAGACCATTCCCTTTGATCCTAAAACCTCCCTACTAAGATTTATAAGAGAATTTTCCCCATTCTCCCTGTTTTGTATAAAATTGTATTGGATTTTGCATAAAATTGTATCTTGTATAAAATTAATTTTGCTTATTTTATTCTTTCCATCTACTTTTTTGAGTCAGAACAAGCAACCAATTTTGGGCAGAAAAAGGGACACAGAGGTGATGAGCTTCTGGCTCATCAGAAAGCCACTGGCTATTCTTAGGTATGGAGTATCCCTTCTAAAACTGGTTATACTTTGCATGCACGCTCTAAAAAGGTGATTCAATGTTACTCAAGATCCCAAGAAGATTTACGTAAAGAAAAGTTTTATAACTATAAGCACAGCCTACCACTGTTTAACAATATCCCTTTTGAAGTGCTAAGTAAAAGCAGGAACTTGGACAAGATGATCTCCATTGTCTCTAGCTATAACGTTCTGTGATTCAACACACACTGAGTGCCGACACGTTGCTAGGTGCTGGGCATTGTTATCGGCATACAGAAATGAACACACCAGACATGATCTCGGCCATGGGGACAGCAAGACAGAGAAGCAAGTAAATGCCAGACTGTCACCAGCTTGAGGTCAAGTTTTCTATCTTGTGCACTGTTGTATTTCATGGCCTGGCAATGTCTAGCATATTATAGGTGTTCAATCAATATTGTTGATACCAGCTCAACACAAAGTTGACATGAGGGAAGCCATATTGTAGAAAAAAAACATATTGTAACTTTGACTGACCTCTGATTAACTGACATGCTCTGTGGATTTTATGGCCTCTCCCAGTTGCAATAAATAGATAACTTTGTTTTTTTGAGTTCTTTAGGAATGTGGTGACCCCCAGGCAGAGAGTCCATGCTGACAGCCATATTCAATGACAACTGAAAGATCAGGGTACAGGGTGTTGCTCTGGTCTCTGATGCATATCCAGTAAAACCAAAGACTATCAGGAACTAAGAACAGATGTCTGCCCCCACCCTGAGATTAAATATCTGCCTCCACTTGGAGATTAGATGTCTGCCCCCACCCTGAGAACAGATGCCTCCCCCACCTGGAGACCAGCCCCTATATAACTGGCCTGTAGTCTTTGTTCTGTAAGATGGTTCTTTCGGACATTAGTCGGTCATTTCCCCCCTTGCTAGCAAGCTGTAATAAACTGCCCTTTCTCTGCCACCATCTTGCCTCTGACAATTGGCTTTTGTCTCGCAGCCAGCAGATCGTGCCCTTTGTGCGGTAACGTTGTGAAAGAGTAAGGGTAAACATAGGGTGCTATGGGACTGAGTCCAACCTGGAGATTTGGTGAAGATTCAACCTGCAGATTAGTTGCTCTCTGGCCATCAGGCAATTCCTGCTAACTATAGCACTGACATTCTTCTGAAAGCCCAGAGGTGTGGCACTGCTATCCAGTTTTTGAACTCATAGTCCTTACAGAGAGATTACTGTTTAAGTAGTTAAGGTTACTTGCAAGGGAAGCTACTCCCATACTTGCGCCTGCAGTTATTCAATTTAAAGGGCAGTGACCTGAAGCAAAACAATTTCTGGCAGGGGACAGAAACATTGAAAAGATCATCCAGTACAAAGAATCCTATACTAGAAATAAAATCATGGTTCTAATTTTAAAACAGAATCAAGTATTCCACAATAAAATATCCTTCTCTTTTGGAACTGTCAAGGAACTAGAAAAAATATTAAGTAGGCACCAGAATTCATATCACATATATCCATATGACGATTATGCATTTTGTTTGTCATTTTCTAGAAGATTGAAACTCTCAGTGGGTGCCCAAGCAGTCTTCCAAAGCAAGAATGATTTGAGCAACAGGTTCTATCATTGTTATTCATTAATTTGGAGTTTTTAAGCAACTCAACTCAATATTCTAAATTTTCTTCTAAAATATATTGCTGTATATTTTGTTTTTTAAAAAATATGATATGCAAATAACAGCCCCATACATTTTAATATAGTTTTCAATCCCCTTGTGGACAAACAGTCACACTTTAGTGCCACTTAAATGAAGACTAACCATTCATTTGTAAAATACAGATACAGAAGGCTCTGGATTTTCATTTTAAAGTGCTTAATTACCTGCATAAAGAGAGAAATAAAATAAAGAGTCCAGGCCAGGTTCATGAGGGTTTGAAATTACTTTTCTTTTTCTAAATGAGCAACAAAGACTCCTCAACGTCGCAAGTTGTTGTGTGGCCAAAAGCCAACTGTAGAAGAAAATGTTAAAAAGAACAAGGGGATCGGGAACTAAATTCAAATATATGAGGCAAGAACCAAAATCAAAAGTTGAAAAATATAGGTAGTGTTTCCAGCCACAGGACAATAGAACATATTTGAAAGAAAAATCTAATCAGCCATAAAGTTAAATCTCCACATTAAGTATTCCAATGAGAGCAGTTATGTAATCCAAGGTTATTTTTGAGGATTTCCTGCCTCTAATTATCCACAAACTTATATTTCTAATATTCCTATTTATGAAAGTACTCAGCATCACTAAAGGACCACACGAAACAAGGTATTAATTCATGAACCAAAAGACGGAGAAGGAAAAAAAATTTTCATGTAAATCTAAATCGCCATTCTCAAGCAATTCGAGTTTAGTACCGTAACTTCCAAGTTGGGCAGAAAAGAAAGCTGATCAGAGAAGAAAAAGGCAATAGATTTAACCTTGAAACAAGGTGACTGCCATACAGTTGAAGGAATTTCCTTATTATCAGATAAAGAATTTACAGTATTTATTCTCTCTAGAGATATAAAATAGTGAATCAATCTGAAGTTCAAGATATTTATTTAAACCCAGAGGAGGATGATACAGCTTGAACTTTTGAAAACCAAAATAGAAAAAAAATATATCAGCTCTAATGTAGTTTATCTTTAGACACCAGATTTAACATTAAACAATTCAAGCTAAATGCTATTTCTCAAGTCCTCCTTTTGTATATTCCTGTAATTTATATGAATATACTGTATGTAAAAATAGAGGTTTAAAAGCATTTATTTAGCAGGAAATGCTTAATGTGCTACAGATAAATACTACGATTTATTTAAATACATAACCTACTGATCAATTCATCTATCGATCCATCCAGGCATCCATTTTATCCTTAACAATCCTTTCAGTCTACTGATAATAGTCATATACTCTGCCCTTGAAAATACGTGTGCCCTCGGAAAATACCTGCACACACACCAAGAGAAAAAAAAATCTCTGACCAACAAAAATCTTCTCCTGTTGATCATTTCCTTTAAGCAAGTGGTTACATAAGGAGATTCTTCGTTTTGTTTTGTTTTGTTTTAGGTCTCATCAAGCCTCATAAGACTTACCTTGCATATCTTGTGGGCCTTCAAATGAAATTCTCCTTTGAGAAATGGCATTTTTTTCTTATACAGTTGTTCTCTTGCCTACTCTACCTGGTTCAAAAAATCATGAACTAAAATTGATGCTGCTAATATAAACACAGCCTATACACAAATTCATCCAGACAGTGTAAACAGAATGGTAAGTTTAGAACTAACCACGTAGTAAATAGACAGATAGACAGAAAAACAGACACGCACATACACACAGAAACTAACAAACAAACAAAATACTTAAATAAATAAAGGATATCGTCATCTTGTCCACAAACTTATCATGTTGATTTTCTGTTTGGGGGAATTTCTTGATGTCACGTTCCAGATGAACAATCTGCTGTTCCATCGCTGCAAGGTTGCTCTTGAGAATCTGAGCTGAAACTAAACAACAACGTGCAAAGCATTTAGAATATTTTACCAGTTAGTCCACAAAACAACTAAAAGAAAACAGTATCAGTCAAAGTATTTTTTTAATGTGGAAAATTGTTCCATGAAGTCAACTCACATTTTTCTGAATTACTGCTCATAAAAATTGTATGCTCCACAAAATAAGTGAAAATGTGTAATATAAGACACCAAATCATCATGTTTAATATGGGAATGTCACCATTTTATTCAGCCATTAGTTCAAATGAATCCATTTCTATTTAAATTTATTGATGGAATTCCTAATATTTCATTCTTTAAAATCTAATTTGAAGATTAAAGAGAAACTAAGGTTCAAAGAGATCGTATCTTATTAATGCATGTTCTTGGCTATATAAATGATTTAAGGTTAAATTACATAAAAGGATCAAATATTTTTCTTTTGTTTAAATATCCTGGTTTATATAAACCAACATCTATGGTAAAAGTTCCTGTCTTTAGTACTTTTCATACTCACAAAGATGTGAAAAATAACTGTTGATAAATAAAGATAATTTAGAGCAACCCCTAGCAAACACATATGTGCAGACACACCCACAAAGCTTCAGCCTGCCCTCAAACACTATCATTAGTTGCTTTAATTACCCCTAACATTCTCTGCACTTTTCTTTTTTTCTCCTCATTGACAACCAATAATTTTAAGTATTCTATTCAAACTGCTCCTAAATACATGCACACTTTCCAGATCTCTCCTGATGTCTTCTTTTCACAGAGGTATTTTTTTTTAACTTATACAATGTTATAGATACTCTATTACTGCATGACTGCCAATTACGTATGAAGACACTTCTATCAATATCAACGGGATTGGGCAGGGTTCTAGCTGAAAAGACAAGGCAAGTCTTAGAATTTGAGAGGTAGCCTGTGACACTGGCTTTTCAATCCAGGCCTCTGAAACACTGTTCTTTTCATTAAAGGACCGTGAAACAGAAATAGAATAATATTACAATTCTTTTTTATTTTCTAAAGTAAATTTTGGTCTCATTCAGAGGTATATCAGAATTACAATGAAAAATTGAAGAGACTGACAAAATCAATCCTCTGGCAAATTTCAGCCAAACTCTTCTGATACAAATTCATCACACTGATGCCAACACCTTTATAACTCAACGAGGAGAAATTGTCTTAAATATACATGGAAATTCAAGACACTGAAAATCAAACACCAACACTAAAGACAAATTATTTTTTTTCTTTTAATCTGTCATTTCAAAAAGCTCTGTCCAATTTAGTTCCATTTGTTTAGATCTGACAATATCTTGGAAATTATTCTTTATTGGAGAAGTTTAAGAGAGTTTTTTGTCTTGCCAATAATTTGCTAATGGGTTGGCAATCATCGCTTGCCTTATTTAAAGAATGAGTTTGCTGTGCAGGAAATCATTCTCTCTGATCAAATTTTTTTCCTTAGGTTTTTCCAGTAGATTCTCGCTAATTATTCAAAAGGTTTCTCCTTCTTCCCTTTTTTGACTGAAAAACTGAAGATATAAATTGACATGTTGTTTATGTCATTTAGGTTTCTTGGAAGAAATAAACTCATAATACCTTTCTGCAATAAACAAATGTGCCCACAGGCCAGGTTTAGGTGACAATAGTAATCCTCCTACTAAAAGCAATAGTAATTCTTGTAGTAAAAAGAGGATGATGATGAAAATCCATCTGCTGAAGGTTCAATACAGAAACTGCCTAATCAAGTTTCTATGCACACAAAAGTCTAGTTATCTCAAATAACAAGAGACAGGATTTTTAATCCAGTGAAATTGCTTTTCACCCTAAAGTTGAATTCTGAATAAAACAATATTTTCTAGACATCTGTCCTCCTCTATTTCACATGTCAAATCTTTAGTCCTCTATAAATCCCTCCAGACTTCTAGTCCAAATTCTCTACCATTGATAGGCACTTTTGTTTGTTTAAGTGATCTTCCACATATCACCTTCTGCTTTGAATGAGATTTATTTTTGTTTCATGTACATCAACACAGAGTCTCCACTATAAAATCTCAAGCTACTTAATGGTAAGATCTGTATCTAATTCTTTGTTTTTCCCCTCAGTACTTATCACACATGGGATTCATTAAATGCTGGTTGAATGAATACGTAAATTTCAAGAATTTTTGGTTCAGATTTAAATGTATGCCCACTTCTGCAACTGAATGTGCATGTAGAGGTTAGACACAATCATAATGATTGAAAGTTACCCTGTCAAGTATTATGCAAGTATGGAAAGGAAACAGGAAGTTGAAGTCTGTCTAGTAATATGTAGCGAAGGCAGGGTTGCAGGAAGTGTTTAGACAAAAGGGAAAGTGAGGAACTGTGATAAGGAAGAGAAGCAAGGGACACCTTTTTTTATTAGGCTCCTCTATTCTTCCTCTCTAACGAATTATTAATATTATGCCTGAACAAAAGGGAACAGAATACTAGAGATGTAATAATCCAAGGATTCTAGCCCACATGCAAATTTATGGCGGCATTAAACAAACAATACCATTATATAAAATGTATATCCTCAAATTGGTGGAATTATGGTATTTTAGACTTAGAAGTGACAGCAAAGGGGATTTGGACCAGCCTCTCAAGTTGGAGAAACTCAGGTTTCAGACTCATAGTCTACGTTCCTAGAAAACAGAGCCTAAGACAAAGCTTGTACGTTAAGGCCTTACTGGGGGGTGAGAGTAGGGTACACTCCCATATAATCCCAGGGAAACGAGCATGAGAGAAAAGGGAAGAAAGCAAATACAAGAGAGTAAATTACTGAACTGCCACAGCTTTACAACAAATACAGCTCCTCGCTTAGTGTCTCAGGTTGTCTCCATCAGGGCCAACGTCACAGGCACGTGAGCTTTGTAGTTGCACAGGGTCTCATGCTTAGAAGGGTCCTGTGCTTTGTTTAAAGCTTTGTTGTCACCGTTTTGAAATTCTTAATCATTTTTTAAATGGGGCTCTGCATTTTCATTTTGCACTGGGGACCCCTAATCCTGTAGTCAGTCCTGGTCTCCAAATAAGACAAATGAAACAACCGTTACTTGGAAGAGTTAGTTAGAGGGGGTGAGCAGTTCACCTACTGGCTCCTTCTCATTTTCTATTCTCTCATGGGGGAAATTCGGTTTCAAGGGGTGTTCACTTCCCGCTCTGGCTGGGGAGCAAGACAAGTGACCCAGGCTTTGAGAGTGGGGTGGCACAGAAGGGGTGTGCAGTGAAGCTAGGGTGGTACATAAACTAGATCCAGAACAGAGGATTCACTATATCCTGAGTGGCTGATTCCCTTTGTGACACTTGATGTGATTAGAAAAATTTTTGTTTACTTATAATCAAAATCAGCCTATTTGAACTCTTCTTACCCACTAGTCCTCATTTTGCGTTGTAGCAACACTGATCAAGTCTACTCCCTATTTTACAGGAAAAGGGTCACTCGCATCTTCTTGATCTGTCCAGGCTACCAACAGCCAGTTCCTTCAACTAGTCTTCCTAAGGTTTAAGGGTTAGTCATTACTTAAGCTTTTAAGTAACAACTAAAATTTACTGAGTACTTATTATGTGCTAGACATTATTCTAAGTAGTTTTATGTATTAACTCATTTAATCCTCACAAAAACTCTATGAGGTATGTACTGCTCTCAATTAGGGGTGTGATATGAGCCAAATGGTGTCTTTTCAGGAAATCGTAAATGTAAAGCTGTGTCTCCAGTGCCTGGAAGGCCAGCAATTTGAGATAAAATCTATACCCATTGGCACAAGGGCATGTCACTTATATTTGCGGACAGGCACGGTCTTAGGAGTTAGATCAACCTAGGTTCTAATCTCTGCCATACCAACTACCAGTTGGGTTACCTTGAGCCAGTCACTTAACTTCTCTGGGTCTTTATTTCCCGATTTGCAAAATGAAGATAATAATACCTTCCTTAAAGAGTAGTCATTCAAGTTAAATGATTTGATAAATCCAAAGTTCCTATCATTATACCTGGTACATGATAGGTAATCTATAAATATTTATTCTATATTCCACTACCCTTCCCCCATACCCTACCTTCCAACAGACAAATTCTTACTGTATATGTGCCACCAAGAATTAAACAACAATTTAGATGTAATCTGAACAAAAAAAGCAGTCATTCCCTACCTGCTACCCCACTATGGCCTAACTTAATTTAATAAATTCTTTCTAATCAAGAGAACTAAACTTAGACTGTGTTCTCTGTTTGTACGTTTTACAACAGAGAACATTGTAGGGTACATGGAATTTTAGGTCTGAGAACCAGTGACAATTATACTAATGAACAGCCAATCTGTTAGAGATATTAGCAAGTTCCAAATTTAAAGAATATTTCTGGAAATTAAAACCTGTACAGTAGTTTGTATTTCTCTGGAGATATTTAAGTTAGTTATTTTGGCTTTGTAGACTTGTCTAAAAGATAACAGATTTTTTTTTAAAAAAAGTGTTAGAAAAGAATTAACACATGTTTACCTGTCTGATTATTTGCCTTGAATACATTCGCTTCAATCTTACGAGTTGGGAGTCCATGTCGATTATTTAACTATTTAATTGGGTCCTAGCCTACATTACTTCTAATATTTCTTGAGGGTGTGTGTGTGTGCGTGTTTGTGTGTGTGTGTATGACACAGAGAGAGAGAGAGAGAGAGACAGAGTAGATGTAGTGTACCTGGAGGTCTGAGAACATTTAAATATCATGGTGGGTTAGAAATGCTGGTCTCCTGCATAGCCTCGGCCTCAGGGTATTTTTTTGTGCCTGTCATTCTATTAGTTCACTAATATAAATTAGGGAGTCTTTAATGACAGTGCAAACATTTTCTATCTGAGTGAATTCCCACTACAGGCATTTTCAATGACTGATTAGTCAGTCTGGTGGCACTTTAATTTTTTTCTCTCATTTCATTTTTTACATCTGCTACCGAATTACTGAATCTGAATTATAACACTAAAAAATTAAATTATAGCTATCG